TCAGCAAATACGATGCAAAAATCATCTATACCCCTGGAAGAACGAACTATTTAACTGATGCTCTCTCCCGCCTATATGAGAATCAAGACCTCGCAGATCCTCCTCTTGTCCATGACCACACAAGACAAAGCGAGGACAGCCCTGATGACACCTCCTATGAACAAGAAACATCGATGGCTACCGCCAGCTCTGCCACTCCCTCCAATCCTTTCTCTTACACCATGTACAGTGCTGCCGGAACAGAACGAGGAAAGGACATTGATGAAGAATGGAAAGACAACTGCACGCTATGCAGTACACCTCCTCACGAACTTGAACAAAGCAGACTCCACTGGTCCCACTGTTATCACGACACCTGCCCTTTTCACCAGACTGAGATTAAGTTCGGAAACAGATGCCAGCGGCCGTACTATATGCCTGCTGATGATTCCAAAGACACCAGCTTCGACACCGCAGAAGGAGAAAAAGAGATGATCGATAAAAATGAGTCAACCCAATATCCTCAAATCCTTAACCCTGTTCCAACACAATACCAAGGTCTTGAAGAACTCGAACAAGCAGCAGCCTACATGGAGGCAATATCCTATTTACAACCCCAACAGTCAGCCCCGCCATCCTCTCCTCCCATAATCAATTCACGACCACTATATGGTGGACCCTTACAAGTATACAACAATGAAACCATTGTCTCGGTCATACCCCCTACTATTCCCGAGCATCAGCGTCAACTCTATGAAACCTTTGAGGAAGAGGAAGCCCCTATCGAACCAACAAGAGGATCCCTAATCGAGGATGAACAAGATATTAGATCAACCACAGAAGAATTAACCTCCTCTTTCCGAATCCAAATGATAGCAGGATACCGCCATGACCCGATTTACTTCAAAGCCATGGATAGCTCCAGGCATGGAGACCTCGCCCCCTACAACATATCCAACGGAATGGTCTTTACCAGCACCCGTTACGGAGAACATTGCCTATACATCCCGAAAGGCCATATGTTCAATGGAATGACAATTAGAGAATATGTCATATCCGAGATTCACAACAAAGGACACCACAGTGCGGACCGCAACCTTCAATATGCTTCAGAATATGTTTACTGGCCTGAGATGCGCAAGGATTTCCGCGATTTCGTCAAACAATGTGAACTCTGCCAGGCAAACAAGGAGCGAACACAACTACCTGAAGGAAAGGCACAGACCCTCCAACTACCATGTGAAATATTCGAATCGTATGCTATTGATTTCGCAGGACCATTCAACAAGTCCGCCGGATATGACACCATCTTGGTAGCTGTGGATCGATTCTCTGGATACACATGGCTCATACCAATGAAGATTACCGATTCCTCCAAAGACACCTGGAATAACCTCCAACGATACCTGTTTACCCCCCACGGGTACTCCTTATCTATTGTCAGTGATGCTGATCCCCGCTTTACCGCCAGATTCTGGAAGCAAACCTTGACCTCTCTCGGAATAAACCACATTATGGCTGCCCCATGACACCATGAGACTAATGGCCAAGCCGAACGGAAGATCCGCGAGGTTAAACCGGAATTAGGAATATGATCAATGAACGACAAACCAACTGGGAACATGCCCTTGTTGAGCTCGCGGCATATATCAATGCCGGGTTTTCAGATACCCTGGGAATGTTACCATATAAGGCAGTCTTTGCCCGCCAATACCCCCTCCTACCTTCAACACTATTTAAGAACTCCTCAGTCCCCGCCTCCGATGACCATTTAAACCGCCACCAAGCCATTCGGAACGATGCTTTCCAAGCTGTTAAGGCTGCCCGATTCCGAAGCACCACTACTGCCCAGAAACGACGACGCAAATATGTCCCCATCTTACCAGGAGACATGCTCATGGTACACGGTAACATGTTCATTACCAATGTCGGACACAGTAAGAAACTGCAACCCCGATAGCGCGGACCCTTCAAAGTCATATCCTTTGACGAGCATACAGAGAACTACACTGTCCAGATGGATGGACGCATGTACCACTGCAATACTGCAGTATTCCACGCCACTGCTGTTAAACGATTCCACCCAAATGACGACTCCAAGTTCCCTGGAAGAACCCACTCTCGACCCGCACCTATCATCATTGAAAAGAAAGATGAATGGGAAGTTGAAGAAATCCGAGACCACCGCCTTTGGCATGGAAATGATCAGTTCCTAGTCAAATGGAAAGGGTATCCGATGAGCGAGAACAGCTGGGAACCACTAGAAGGACTAGAGCACGCTATAGAAATGGTAAACGAATGGTGGAAAGACAATATGCCAAACGAATCCCTCCCCCCTACGATCAACTATATAACCATGTGCGGGACACCTACAATGCCAGAAACTGAGCGATGGCATGCAGAACTCGAAGCTAGAGATGGATTTTGGGCACCATACTTTGAGTCGGAATTTGAAAGCAGCGATGAGGAAAATAAAACTATGGAGCAGGCTCTCGACAACTTTATCTAGTCACCAATCACCATCCGAATACCATAACAATGTCAAACTATGTGGAGCTCAATGTGAGGCAGCGACAACAGGTTGTTGGACTGTTGTTGAACCGCGATGCTATCCAACTTGATGACTATTTCGAAATCCTCTGGATTGACTACTGTCCTGATTGCGATCATACTTGGGTTGATGTACAGCACGAATCTGGTATTCGTGACTACTGTGATTTACATTTCTTTGAGTCTAAGTGTTTCCTTAGGGTTTCTTCTTACCCCTGGTGTGATACTTATGATGAGGAATTTCTTGCAGAAACCGAAGCCATGAGTTTCTCAGAATCCGCTTTTGATGATTATTAGTTTTGTTTGTTTAAACAGTTGTTTTGTTTTGGGGAATGTAACCGGTACCGGTACTCGGTTATTGGTTTTATTTTATGTTTTGTTTTAAGTATCGTTTTGATACTTGGTTTTGTTTTATGTTTTGTTTTAAGTATCGCTTTGATACTTGGTTTGTTTTAAGTATCGTTTTGATACTTGGTTTTGTTTTATGTTTTGTTTTAAGTATCGCTTTGATAGTTGGTTTGTTTTAAGTATTGTTTTGATACTTGGTTTTGTTTTATGTTTTGTTTTAAGTATCGCTTTGATACTTGGTTTGTTTTAAGTATCGTTTTGATACTTGGTTTTGTTTTATGTTTTGTTTTAAGTATCGCTTTGATACTTGATTTGTTTTAAGTATCGTTTGATACTTAGTTTTGTTTTATGTTTTGTTTTAAGTATCGCTTTGATACTTGGTTTGTTTTAAGTATCGTTTTGATACTTGGTTTTGTTTTATGTTTTGTTTTAAGTATCGCCTTGATACTTAAGGAGTTTTACCAAAGAGTATCAATTGATACCTTTGCTTAGTTTCGTTCATGCTAGACATGAACAGATTTGCGTATTTAAAGACCGCCTGTTTCTACGATAGAAAAGGCAGACTTCGACAGACAGTATTTCAATATACTTGGTTGAACGGTTACTTCTTTGTTCCCCAGTACACCCTCGAAGCCTCCTTTATTTCTCAGCTCTCGCCTCCTCTCTGGAAGAGCAGGCCACCTGCCAACTATCATATCTAATACCGATAACGTGATTAGCGCCTTGCGAACACGTTACAGTATCGTGAGAAACCATTAGGCGACGAAACGAGAAGCAAACAAGTAGTCCGCCACGCAATACCTAACGGACCTCAACACTAAAGACCCTAGGAACTACTCAGTGGACTCAGATATCTCCCCCAGAATCCAAGGCATCAAGGCCCATCATGATGGCGAAAGAAACACTCAGGGCGAAGTGACGGCAAGGACAAGGAAAAGTACTTAGAACAAAGCATGAAGAACCTATCTTCCTCGGCCGCATCGGCCTCTTTATATAGTATTCTTCCCGCCCGTAGTCATGTAACCTAAAGTGGTCACATGTGCAAAACCAAATCATAACAAACAAGTCATGTGACCAAAGTGATCACATGCTTAAAACCCATGACCTCATAGCGAGGTCATGTACAAAAACTCATAAACCAATCATAACGCAATAAACAAGTCATATGACTCGACTGAGTCATGTGTGCAAAACCCATGACCTCATAACGAGGTCATGTGCAAAACATAAATCATATGCGCAAGGCTTACCTGTAAGGCACCCTTGCAAGGCATACTTGCCAGGCGCACGTCCCGTGACTCATATTTGAGCCATGTGCGAAAGCATCACAAATCCCACATATAACCAATCATATGACCCAAATGAGTCATATGTGTGAAACAATAACATACCTGTGACTCATAACTATGTGTCACGTGAAAACCTCTTTTATGCTAAGCCACATTCATGACATTCCCAGACCAATATTTACTTTTTTGGTAATGTCGCATAACACTAAATGAGGCTCGGCATCGATAATGGACTCCACTATCCTTTTTTTTTTGAGGGGTAATTGTTGTTGGTCTTCCAGATCTGGGGGCATCATGGGTATTTCCATCTCTTGATTCAGCTCTTTTGACTACTAATTGAACAGTTGCCTTAGAGATACCCATAACCTTAGAAATTTTATTATACCCCATATCAGTATGTTTATACAGGGCATAAATTTCCTTATTTTGATCTTCTCTAGCTCTTCGGGTATGTGGGGGGGTCATGGTAGAGGTGGTTGTTGTGGGGATGGAGGACAACACCGTTGCCGTGCTGGGGCATGAAGACTTTACGGACACGACTGTACACATACAATATAAAGGCATTAAGCGGGATCACTTCTGGTCTGTGTCATAATTCTGCTAAGGTCACATTATGACCAAATTTTTACACGTTGACCCTTCTTAAAGGGGTTAACGGTAAAACTTCGGTCTTTATTGCATTGCAGAAAGCTCCCCTCCAAATCCCGTAGCGTAGCAAAGGGCCATCCAGAGCGCTAGCTGGTGATATCATAATATATTATGATATCATACAAATAAAAATAAAAAAAACACGACACCGGGAATTCACTGCGAGGCCACAGTGAAAGAAACCTTAGATAAATTAATTCACTAGAGCGATCCCCTTCAGCACTTTTTACAACAGATATATGAAACCTTCCCCACCTGATAAGATAACCTCAGCTTCTCTTCCGAGAGAAATTATTATCCCTCACCTCGCTCAGGGTATTCAATAAAAAAGGGCATGATAGAAACGTTCCAGAACCAACCTACCAGTATTCCATTTTCCAATTCACCCATATATACCCACTCCCCTAACCCCCCGCCCACCGGAACCCGCTAAAAAAAACAAAAGTGAAAAAGAAAAGGAAAAAAGCCAAAGATAATCCTGACTCGTCTGAACAAAAACGGCAAAGATTAAGTAAGATTGAAAGTTAAAAAAGAACCCCTTTGGAAGAACCCCCCCCCCGTAGCGCTATTGACAGAAGGAAATTATCTATGTTCGAGTAGTATAAGAGTTTTGCTGTCCTTGTATCCAACACATAACGTGGAAAATGCAAATCAAAGAAGAAAGGAGACAAAAGAGGAAATTTACAAAGGAACAATTAGGTACCCAGTATGTAGGCAGGCAAGTATGATAGTAGAAAAAGGCAGAGAAATCGTTAAAGCAAAGCAAAGCAAAGTAAAGCAGGCAGTAGAAAAAAGGCCATTAGCCGTGGGTCCAGGTATCATATTCAAACTTTTCCCCCTCCCCCCATCCCCCCATCTCATTCCTTCTATCCATCTCCCCGTCCCCCCTTTTCCATTCACCCCGTCCCCATAATATCACCGCTGAATCCAAACCACTAAACACTACTTTTTCTCCACCTTCTTCTTTCCGAATCCTGGAAGCCGCCACTTCTTTTTATCCTTCATGCTCCCCGAAATGCTTCCTTCCTTCTCTTCCCCTTCTAGTCTTATTGGTGCCGCCGGCGGCTTCTGATGGGCTCTGGCGGGTCTTCCCAAAAGGTCGTCTGTGATTGCCATCGTATCCAATGCACCTCCGAAATCTATCTCAGGCAACTGCATACTATCCGGTAACTTGTACCTCTCCTGTGTTGTAGTCGGCTTGAGGTTAAAGTACGAAAGATCGATATTAGGCTCAGGTTTGGTAGGATATACCGGTCGCTTAGGAGGAGTGACGGGCATCGAAATCGTAGGATCGCCTATCATGTTGCTGACCAGTTTTGGCGGTTCCGGTAAAGCCTTTTCCTGTTTAGTCAGTGATTGAACGGATTTCTCCTGCTTTGCCACCGGTATGGGCTCAGCCAGTTTAGGCATCTGTATAGGAACCGGATCTAGTTTCACCACCTCTGACCCCAGCGCTTTCTCAACCGGCTGAGGCATACCATTGCCCATGAATACGGATTCTTCCAACCTTTCTCCCATCTTTGTCACTTGGGCGGGCTCCGGTCGAGGCGATGGAGTGGATCGAGATGGTTTATCAAGTCCGGGGGTCCGCTCCCGTTGTGGGATAGTGCTAGGCAGTGGGGGCTTGGCGCGCGTTTCTTGTTTTTTCTCGACTTGAGGTCGACCTAACTCTGGAGTTGGCTGTTGCTTAGCCCTGGGTAGCTTAATCTCCGTTTTCTCAATATGCTCCAAGCTGACCTCTGGCTGCCCGACCCCAGCCTGTCTAGCTCCTGGATTTCTAGCTTCAGGCTGCGTAACCTTTGCTTGGGTAACCTCTGGTTCATCAACCCTTAGCATTCTCGGAACATCAACCATACTTATCGCTGGAGATCCCTTACGCCTCGGCGACTTCGGCGGCGGTGTCAATGTTACCTCTTGTTGCCCAGCCACTTTTAGTGCTGAGCTCGGAATAGCTTCATGTTCGGGCGGTGAGGGCTGAAGAGGTGACAAGGGTTCTTGCGGGGGTGATACTTGAACCAGTGGCGATGGCTGACGTGGCGGCGACCCCTGGTGGGAAAGTTGCACATGTTGGTGCGTCTGTTTACCATCATTCGGTTCAACTGGTGCCTCTGACTCCCTATCCGACTCCCGTCCCGGCTCCGGTGAATCCGCCTTGGGAGACCTCCCCCGAGGAATGAGCGGGTCACGGGGTTGAGGCGTCGGCCCGCGCTGATTCCATTGTGGAGGGCCAGGTAAGCGTTGGTATGGCCTCCTCTGTGAGTTCACACCGGATGTTCTAATGGGTGCGTGGGAAGATGATATCTGCCGAGGATATTCTTCGATATTTGCGAGTTCAGCCCTCTGGCTCAGGGTCGGATCCCTTTTGCCCCTTGTTGGTGGGGGCCAACACGGCTCACCATCATACTCCTCAAACTCCGTCAACCTTTTCCGGGGTCTGCCAGTTTCGGACCCAGGACCGCCAGGTTTCGGACGAGATATCGCGGTGGAGCCTCCCGAAAAGTTAGGTGGTCCAAAATGCGACAAATTTTCCAACTCCTCAGCGCCTGTCGCTAGAGTGGGAGCAGACAAATCTGCCGGTAGTTGTGTATCTCCCATCTTGGGCACCCTTGGCTGTATTTTGATGTTCAACTCTGAAGGTGAATTTAGATCTCCTAGGCCATCCCCTCCCCCGCGCGCCTGAATGACCCGCAGCAGGTCCATCAGGCGATTATCCTGAAAGCGGAGTTCATCCCTACACCCCGCACAAATGCGGATAGCACACCACCCACAAACGAAACGATACTCTGCAGGATCCTCACCTTTGTCAGTGGCCTCAATGGTGCCACAATGTCCCATAGTTCTACATGTCATACAAGGAACGCTGTGGTGGAGGTTGTGAACTTTGTGCATTACCCTGTGCTGCGTCATGCAACCTAGATGGGTGAGGTGAAATGGAGGGTACCGAACACCAGATAATTTGGGGCCAGCCATCGCTTCTTCAGGCGTGGTGTTGTACGATATCTGAGCAAAGTACATGCCTTCATGGAAAAACGGAGCGGATCTCAAGGGGCGGAGTATTGTGCGTTTCTGCAGAGGATATGGATAGGTTGGGTACTGGGGACGCTCAACAGAGGGTTGTGAATTCGGAGGGCCGTGGTCTTGGGAATGGCATGGCGCAGGGGAAGCTCGAGCTTTCTCTAGATTTGGGGTCTGGCTCGGGGTGATAAACTCCTCAGAAGAGGATTTAGTACTAGGAGCTTTTGGCTCAAGTGGGGGCGGAGACTCGGTAGATTCTAGCGATTGGGTTGTGGGAGAAGATGAGCTGTTGCCCGTTTTCGCAGATGACGACGACGAATGCGACAGAGGGAAACTACCCCCAGACCTGATGGGTCTTGGTCTCTGTGGAGGCTGGTAGTAAGTACACTGCTTTGGAGGAGATTGCCGGAGGTGGTGGAACCGAGAAAGAGGATACTGCATCTGTCGATTTTCAACCGGGAAATTCCGTCTGGAATACATTTCTGGAGTCATTGTAGCAGATGAAGAAGCTGTAGAAGCAGCCGAGTATGGGCGTAGGTTAGAGGGGGGACAAGTACCGCCAGCAGTAGAAGCTCTAAAGGCAGGTCTAACTGTGGGCGTTGGTGCTCTCGGTGGCAATCTTCGCAGTTGCGCACTCACGGGTTGTCCCGGGCCCCGGGATCGTGAAGGAAACCTCTGGCAAGGGGAATTTGTAGCCCCTCGAGGCGGATAGGGAGGAATATTAAACTCAATGACTGTACCCGCCAATTCCAATTGACCTGTACTCGTACTCGGGCCAACAGCAGCTGTCCTGTACTCTGCACTCGCTTCTCGGCTAGTGCCACAAGGGTCAGCGGCAACCCTGTCAGGGTCCCACCCACTTCCCTGCCGCTTGTCAGCCCGATCGCTCTCACCCTTATCGTTGGCATCCTCAACATTGTCGCCATCCTCAGGATGTTTCACCGTGGTAGTCTTATTAACGCCAACTCCCTCAGAGTGCTTCAACGCAGTATTACCACGAACACCCGCGGATTTGATCGTCGCGTCGTTACTACCTTGAAAATCCTCCGAGTGTTTGACAAGCAATTCTCTCCTCGCAGAATCACCATTATCGTTTCCCGATTTTCTGCAATCCACGCTCCCCATACCATTTGCACTCCCTCTCCCACTCTCTGGCCCCTTAATCTTCGGCGATGCTCTAAAGCCGAAACGTTCCTTCAAGCTCATAGACCTTCTATCTCTAGTCCTGACACTACCGATGGTGCTCGCATTATCGATACTGCGCCTAACATCACCGTTCGCATCGTCGGCTCCTGGTCCCGCCTTTTTGAGACGAGACGTGCCACGAGAACGAAAAGAAAGCATCCACCTGACCCACCGATCAACCCGAGCTTATCAAGTTGCGGTAAAAGGGAAAAGTCAAAAATCAAAAATCGTGAACCCAAGCTGCCTGGACAGAAGGCGGCTCAAACGACAGAAAGTCCAGACGATTTATTGAGAGAAATTCGTCGTCAGTTTTTTTTGCTGTACTTAAACCGCTGGAATGACCAAAATTATCATGCGCCACCCACGAGCCCGGGGAGCTAAGTGGCACCAGGACTTTCAAACTCTTCCGGTAGCTGAAAAGTGATGCGGCAGCCACAATATAGCGAAATCTGATATCGTTGCCCTCAAAGCGGACGGAAGAGGTCAAGCCACCCCTTTTCAGCCTTTGGGTGGTAGATAAGTATCGTGACTTTCCCCCTCTAATGAGAAAAAGCAAAGCAGAGTGAACCGCAAGCAGACTGAGGAAATAAAAAAGGGCTGTTTTTTCGGGGGAGGCAAAGGAAAAAATGAGAGTGATCCCGCAACAAACCCCCAACCGAGCCACCTTCGTCAATCGCCTTGGATCACGGTAAAAGTATGGGGTGGGAGGAGCGAGTGGGCGAGCGAGCGGGAGTATATTGCCTATAATCTCATTTCCGCTCTTCTCAACACGAATTCCCTTCTAAGTGTAATTTATTTTGGAGAGGAACAAACAAACAATTGGAGTAACGAATGTAGACGGTTCAAACCAGAGATTATCTCCACACCTTGCTTTCCCACGCTCACTTTGACAGGCTACCAAATTCTGGAGGGAGGGGAGGAATCGGGCAGGATAGGATAGGATAGGATGGGAGTATGGGGGGACGAAGGTGAGAGATGGTGAGGATGAGGATGAGGATGAGGATGACGAAAGAAGGGGCGAGGAACTGGTGGAGGGAAAAGGACAATTCTACAGCGATGGAGACAGGGCTACGGCGGGGTATATCCATTGAATCAAGTATACATACGGGTGTTGGCCAATTCGTACAGCATCCGGAAAAAGAAGTACCAAAATCATGGAACTCGGGTGCAAAGCACCAGCTCTTGGCACTTTTATTTCCGCATACTCGAGTACTGATAAATTGACCGGGGTCGTGTTGTAAATACGGATACCGATCATTTGCTAGGGTAGCTGGGCTAAGTTTCCGTGAAAGGCTCAGTGGATGATGGCGGTTTGTTCTTTAGGTAGGTATCAGTTCCGGTGCGATGCCGTGTGCGTGTGTCTCTCTGTATGATAGCCTATGGTGCCTGTGTGTGCCTGTGTGTATACGGGCGTGCTCAATCATACTGCAAGAAGGAGTACAGTAGACTACCGGGACCGTGGCTCATAAGTTCGTGGAGTCGGCGGACATCGTGAGACGGAAACGAGTGACGTGGAATCATAAAGAGAGCACCCGCAAGCAAGCTGTGCAGCAGGTTGGCCTGGAGCTCTGGTCAATCAATCCTCCTTTGCTCCACCCCTCCCTTTTCCCGATAAGGGGAGCCTAATCTTTGCCTCCACTCTGTGCTCGAGTATATCTCGTCGGACGAATGAATTTCGGGGGATTCTCGCATCGACACCACCACATTATACATCCCCCCATGAGGCACAAGCACTCTACTCGGGCTGAGAACTTGGGGTGGGAAGGGGAAAAAAAAAAAGGTTTCTTATGGGTAGAGGTTCCTTCCCATCATCGCTATTGTTGTTGTTGCCCTATCAAACAATATAATACCCCTCCCTCTGGCTAAAAATAACGAAGCGAGTAGATTGCTTGTAGCCTTGTGCTGGCACAGTACTGGATGCCCGTCCCCCCGTCCCGGGCAAGAAGCACCAGAAAGCACGGATTTGCGAAGTATGATAACCTATACCGGTATGCCCCCTGTTTACAGGTGGTGGCATTGATATATCATACCGAAATACTGAGGCTGGTCCTATCCCGGGGCCAGGACATCAAGGTGGTACAAGTACAGTACAAGTGGTATGTGAAAGACGTAAAGTCATTGCACCACCATCCTTGTTCTCCTGGCTCTCCCCATCAAAATTGCACTAGGGGAGGCGAGGAAGCTCCCTGATAAGTTAAGCTCCAGCGATTATTGAGGGTGAAAAAGGCTCTCTACCCAATCCCTGTTGCGATCAGCACCCTTCAACTCGAGTACCTTTTCCCCTCACCCTTCACCTTCCTCACCCGTTCCCCGTGTCGTCTCCAGTTGAACAACGCACGTGTCTTGGTGACGTTTTCGCGCAAAGCGCCATCCAGCTGAGCCATTCCCGTGGTTCTTTTTTCAACCGATTTCACTCAACTTATATTTTTACTACTTAAGCCTACCACTGTGGGCGTAAATCCCGGTGTGAGGAGGGTACGGTACGAGTACAGTACGGTAAAGTACTCGGGCACTGTCGGGCGGGGGCGAACTAAGGGAAAAAAAGGTACAAGATATGATATACTACTAAATAAGTGCTTGCGCTCTAATGCTTGTCGAGCCTGGAGACCGTCACGCCGTAGTTATCATAAATTTAAATTACCAGTTACAGTATCGCACGGTAGAGCACTCGGACTGGTATAGTATTATAGCAACGCCCGTGATGCCCTTGGCACTCACCCTCGCTGCCCCGCAAACCCGTGCGCTCCACGCGATCATCAACCACGCCAATCGCTCCAACCCCTCCCCCCAGGGGCAAACTCCCATACCATACCGGTACCCGACAAGCACCAAGCACAAGCCCCTGCACAGCGAGTGCACCCAAGCACCGGTGTAGTACTGGTGCGCAAAAAAATAACTCAGCACAACACAGACAAGCTGTATCTCAACCCGTCTGATTTGATACACCGTTTTGCCTCATTCTCCAGTCTCTAAATCCCACTGGTTTAGTTTCTCTGCCTAGGTACTGTAATGCACTGTACAGTACTGTACAGTACTCGTACTCGAGTTACCATAAATTTACTTCTCCCGACCGTCTGCCGTGTAACCGACCAACGCGGCCTGATCCAGAGAGATAACTGGGGGGCGACCCAATCGGGCCCATTCGTGCACCGCATGCGGTTACGACACGAAGTTCTCGTACCGTACCGGTAGCGAGAAGGAATTCGATGCCCTCGTGTGGGGAGGAGGAGGTGGTGGTGGTGGATGGACGGACATCTTTGTTATTACGCTGACCCATACCGTAGTTTATCGAGAGGGTAGTGCGGCACGGTAGGAGAGGCGGAAGGTAGGAGAGGCGGAAGGTTGTGATGATGCAGCCAAGTGCAATACCGGTAGACAAACAACATGATCCACCATCCATCCTGCCGCCTCAACAACCTTGCGGCTTGTGTGCACAGTATGGCACTGCTGTGCACAAAAATAACTCTAGCTCCAGATCAACTCTCCTTCTCTGCTGTTTTCCTGGTGCTCGGAAAATTCCTTCTTTGGGAACGATTTGACGCCCAGAAAAGCCATCGCAATATTTCTCCACGCTCTGAAATCGGAGCCTCCGGAGATCCGTGGGACTCAAACACATAGAGGCCGCTTCCCGTGCC